ACACATACCACTGGGTGACCTATTCTTAGAATTACTGCCATGCACAGGGTCCATAAAATGCTCAAGCAACTCTTCCACAACTTCAGGTGTAAGCTGAGGCGTTTGTGTCACAGTATACGTATGTTCTGCAGGAAGAAAAAGACTGACAAGCGTTTCAGCTTCTTCCTCTAACGTCACTGTATTCTTCTCATTTCGGATATCATTATTTGTCTCGAGAAGCCACCAAACACCTTTACGCTTAACTATTGAAGTCCGAAAACAAAAACGTGAACGCGAATACGTAGGTTCGGGAGTGCGAAGAGCTTTAGCGCGATACGCAACTTGAGCATGGCCATTTGCATATTGATGCCAACCTGCCTTGTGCTCTACCGAGTCAAGGAAATTCTGGAGTTCCTGATCTATCACAGGAGTCCATTTTCCATCCTCTACCTTAAGCTGTTTACGCGTCACCGTCTTCTCCGACCTATTTCCGTAACACACCGAAAACAGACGTTCTTCACAGAGAAAAGACCTACGAACTTCCTCCGCTGTGTCGTGGAATTCGTTCGGCGGCGCACCTGCTACGTAGAAGGAGACCGGTTCTGGTTCGGCTGGCATCTCCTCTGACGAGTAGTTCACAGCCTTAGGAACCTTCAAACATCCGGAGTAGCAAACGTACGCGCACCGATCGGCTCGAGTCGGAACTAATCCGAGTGAGTGTAAAAACTTGTCGAGTCGATTCCACCAGCGACGAGGCGCGTCACTCAATCCGTACACCGAACGGGTGCACAATCCGACGAGATACGGCGGCAATCCGATGTCGGTCGGAAGTTGAACGTGAATAACGCGTCGCTCGAGGTCGTAAAGTTCCCCCTGAAGAAAGGCAGTTTTTAAGTCGATGTGTAACAGGTCCCAAAAAGAAGAGGCTGCATGCTGACATGCTACGCGAAAACCATACCTGGTCGCGGTTGGCGAGTCCGTCTGGAGGTCCCATTTCTGGGCATCTTGGAAGCCTCGACAGACCCATCTGGCCTTAAACTTCTTAAAGTTACCATCTTTGTCAATCTTGATGGTCAGGACCCATCGACCGGTAACATAGTTATCGATCTTGTGCTTTCTTCGGTCACGATACTTCATCGCAGTAAAATCTAAAAAGCTGCGAAACTCCTCTAGTTTACCTGCAGGTACCAATTTGCAGTTGGGTGTATCTTTTACGCCCGGGGTGTTTATTCCCAAAATATACGCCCCAGGGTGTATATTCTGATGAATTAACGCCCCAAGGCCATGTGAGGTGTTTATTGATAGCAAAAAACACCCACGTGCGTTGATTCCCTGCCAAGAACGTAGCAAGAGATGTGTACAAATACATCTGATAGTTTTAGTCGCTGCAGTTGTATGTATGCTACAAGACGCTACAATGTATACGTGCAGCCGCACGTTTCTAGAGTTGTTGAGATGGATGCGCCCATGAGTGGTGACTATTGGGCGGAAAGATAGACGTTAGTCAGGGCGAATTGTAGACTTGCAGGCGCTCGTCGTGAAAATCTCATGCCTGGTGGGCAAGTGATGTATGCGGCCTGTCCAGATGAAAAAGATGTCCCGTGACTCGGAAGTTTTCCATAGTTTTAAGGGTGCCGGCTGATAGATTCGAAGTACTCGCTGAAAGCTCCCATGCAAACGAAGCAATGCACTTTTGCGGAACCAGACAAATGTGAAGACAAACCTTTGTTTGCGCATGCTCTTTAGATGCATGGCTCAAGGAGGACAAATGTCCCGTTCCAGCAGTCCAAGAGAGTTTCCTGCATCAGAGCAAACAAAGTTAATCAGCTTTTCAAGAGAGAAGACACGGTCTTAAAAATAGAAATCAAATGTGCACACATATAAGTAAATACCTCTTATAGGCTATGTACTGCTGAAATAACGTAACTTTCTGTATTGCTTGCAGGGCCACGGCCTGTTTATAACCTTTTGGCACCTTGTGGGGCCACGGCCTCTTTCATTCCATTAATTGCTTGAGCGTTCTCATGATGTTACAAAATGCTGACAAAATAGCTGTTCACGCTGGTAAAGCAATGTTTTGCCAAACGCTGTTAGGCGCAGTCTAATCCACGTCTCTCTCTCTCTCTATATATATATATATATATGAGCACCCTGATTGAGATGGCAGCTGGGGCTTCCCAAGAGAGGCCGGATCATGTTGATGACAGAATGCAGTGGAGTCAGTGCATGGCATGGCTTCAGATTAGCGGCAATATGGAGAGGGTGCGCGTAATAAGTGTGGCAAAATAAAAAATTTGAGAGGTTGCGCGTAATAAGTGTGGCCACATTGAGAAATTCGGCTCCCAGTCATGAAAGCAGCGGGCGTCGACGGCCGTCGGCCTTCGGAGCCATGTGACCCTCCAAAGGGTCGCGCGGTTCCCCCTCCTCCTCATCCCCGAGTTCAACCGACAGTTGTGCCTCCGAGACCTTCTTTTCCTGCAGCATGGCTTGCGTTGCCTGCGTTCCAGAAATCATTACTGTAAGAAGAAAAGTGCATAATGAAGGGGCTTCGTTGAAACTGTTTCAATTGATTGGGTGGACACATTTTCCAATCACACGAATTAAGGCACCAGTTTGGAAGTCAAGCTCGAGCGCTTCAAGCTGGGATGCTTCAAGCTGGAATGCTTCAGGCTGGAATGCTTCAAGCTGGGATCACAGCATGGCGAGCTCTGACTATGCCCAGGCGAGGTCACGTATCCTCATGTCATACTGGCAAGAATCCAAATGTTTCTTTTTTACAGGAGGCAGGCCAGGACTGTGGATATAAACTACACGTATACCTGCGCAGGGATTTGCAGCGGGGATGGCCTTCATGCTGTCGGAGGTCCAGAACAACAATAACGCGCAGGCCAAGAGCACTTTGCAGAAGGCCATGAACTATGCCAAGAGCGCCAAACGATCGCTGAAACAAATGGAGGACCCACTGGACAAAAGTTTCGTGAGACGACACTCCCACATGAAGCTTTCGACCGTTTTCAATTCTCTCTCATGTGCAGGGGGCCATGGAAATTCACCTATGCCTGCGCCCATCCAATGTCCAGGATGCAATTGGCAAAAAGAACTCCAACGTGGCTGACGCTATCATGCACATGAAGGGATCGCCCGCTACCTTTGAAGAGGCCTCTGACAAAACCCGGTTACCACCTGACATGGCGGAGAGTTTGCTACTTGAAGAGGCCACTGGGCCGAATCCAATCGTGTCCTATTCGTGTTTGCATTTGGGGTGGCGGATTGAAATGCTTGATGTTGTTACTTGGCGACCTCGCAATTGCATGAGGCCACTACACTTGGCCCAGAGACAGCAACATACGTTGCTACGGAAGTCGCTGATGATGCGTTTTCTAGCTTTCCGTCACAGGGTGTGAAAAGGAGCCCTGCAGAAGCTCCTTTCCTTCCTGATGCCAAGAAACGGCGCATGTAGCTGGTCAAACTTCCGACTTCCGCGCTGGGATGTTCAAAAAGCCATTTCTTGCGCAATTATCACCATGCAGTGCACCGCGTTGACCACTGGTTACAACAAACTTGACGCAAAACATGCTTTATAATTCATGCCTTGGAGGCCTCTCCGGGTGGACGCCGGTATAAGGACTGTGAATGCTCAATGACCTGGACTCCTGGAATGCCTTTTTTTGATTGGCAGAGGAAGTGTTGAGATTAATTAATTGTATTGTGTCTTAGATGACAGCCCATTGCCCTGAGGCGTACGCTGGTTTCGTTTTGAGCCAACTACACTAAGATTAATGTGGAAAGATTTGCAGTGCAGTTGAAATCTACCTACCTGAGTGGATGCATCACTCGCCCAACTGTTGGACTTTGCAGGAATGAAGCGGCGGAGGCTTCTTTTGAAAGGACCGACTGTGTAGAATCTTCAAGACTTCCGGACTTGCTGCAGCTGTCAATCGGAATCGCTCGTTCTCATCCTCTCATGCTTTTGCAGGTTGATTAACCCGCGCAGCTCAAGAAATTACATCATTTGTTTCTGCAGCAAGGTTCATATAGACAACAGACTGGCAGATTGCTGAAAGCGCAATCATTTTTTGCCATGGGGCGACCAAAGGGCATGGTTGAGATACATCTGGACGGAGCGGAAGCCAGCCAGGCTGCCAGGTGGATCAACCAGGCGATGCCTGACCTCAAGAAAGGGCAGATTAAAGCGGACCCTGCGAAAGCCTTTGGAAAGTTTGCTTCCAACAGTATCTTGCTCAATCGATCCCTGTCGACCTTGGCAGGTTTGCAAAACCATGCCTTTCTGTATCTTCGACTGACCGAGGTAAGGGCATGTCAAAGGACCTCCTCACAGACTATGTCTTTGTCCTGCTGCCTTTAGCGACAGTTGCCCCGACCATGCCTCTTCATGCTAACAGCCTTTTCGAGGTCCTCTCGAAGGTTGAAGGGCTTGAGTCTTTACCAGAAGGAATGCTGTGGCTTCTAGTTTATGACCTCAAAACATTGCTCCAGTAGCCTTGGCTTCCGTTTCAGGCACTGTTGGCAAGCAATTGTTTCTTTGTTGTTATGAACTGCTTGCGGTTTGCCCTCTGACAGTTCTAGCTCCAGGTATTCGAGAAATGTTTGGCGGAAGGCGCGAACTACCTTCAAGCAGCCTCCCAATGAGTGGCCCCTGTGGGTCAAAGCGCAACCACAGGTCTTGGAGCTGTTTACTGTCATGGAGCCATTGGAAGAAGGTGAAGAAGATGTTGCAAAGGTTTGGGGGATTGTCACTCACCCTTTTTATTTGGGTTGAACGTTGTCATTGCGTTCACTCGGCTCTATGCCATTTGTCGCCACTGTTGCTTCTTTTGCGCGTGCTGATATGGATTCGATTAAGTGCCTCAGGATTCACTGCCTGCAGAGCCTTGCGCTGCAGAATCTTCTGCACCGAGCGTGGAGGACAAACCGAGCGTGGGCAGCAGCAAATAGACGAACATCCTGCCAGCAGGAGGAAAACCAAGCATGCCAAGGACCAAGTACCCCTCACCCCACTCATGAAAGGCCGTGATATGGCGGGCAAATTGCTCAAGAAGAAATCAAACTCTGGTAACCTAGCTTTGACCTTGCAAGCAGTCCCTTATGCAAACGAACTGTGCAAAGAGATGGCCAACTTCGCGCAACAGTTCGAGTGATTCAGCTGCATACTGGACAAACTTGTGAGTTATATATAGTTGCTCGCGCCCATCCTCGTCGCTAGGCAACTTTATTTGAAGGTGCACGCTCTGGTTACCGCGCAGAAAAATGAGGCCACTGACCGCGCATGCTTTTGACAGCGACGGACAGTTTGCATGACTTGCGCAATGCGCAGGAGGAGGACTACTTGCCATATGTGCGTGAGATGATTGCCCTGAGCAAAAGTTATGAGAAGCCATCCAATGCAGCCGTGGCAATTTCCAAGCAGCTGAATAAGCCTGCTGCAAAACCCAAGGCCAAGGCAAAGGCTAAGGCCACGTAGGCGATTCTGCCTTTGTGGTGCGATCGGGTGGCCCACTCACTCATTGTATTGCTTCTAGCGCAAACAGTTAAAGTTGTTTGTTGTATTTTTGATATAGGAACAATACCGGCAGAATGGCTTTTTGGTGCCGTCACACGCGTGGATGTGATGGGAGTTCTCATGAGTGCAGAACCTGAGCAATGGCTTGGGACGCATGAGACTGCGGCTATATGACATATAGCTAGGGGATACATCTCGCTTGGCACACAGCTACAGCCTACAAGTGCTGGCCTACAGGGGGCGCGCGTGGGAAAATGAACGGTTCCTGCGCTTCAAAGAATATGAGCATGTGCAGTGGTTGTGTCTCTTAAGTTTCTCTTAAGAAAAAGATTGTTGGGTGCTTGTGGGGCCAGAGCCTCTATATAACCTAGGCGTTCGTCATCTTGTGGGGCCACGGCCTCTTTTTTAATGGGGCCACGGCCTCTTCTTTAATTGTTTGAGCCTTCTCACGACGTTACAAACGGTAACAAAGGATGTGATAATTTACAGTAGTAGCTGTCCAATTTTATGACTTTCACGCCAACGCAGGCCAGCTGTCAGCTACACAAAAGATGAACCCCGGGGCAAATACCGCAAAAAGATGTGCCTTGTCAGTAAACATCGGCGCTCTTTGTCCCAGCTGCTTTTGAATGTATGCTTTGAGTTTTTCCACTAGCACTTAAAGACTAAAGCCAAACGAAAGTTCAGTTCACGCGAAGCTTTTACCACCTTACGCAGGACTGTAGAGGACATCGACAGCGCTGGAGTAGCCAATGTGGCGGAAAAGATTGGATCTGGGAAGCTTTCCGTCAAGACAGCGGCTTCTTGCGCAGCGGCCTTCGTGCAGGATGGGTGCCACAAGGCGCTTCTCGAAACCATGACTTGAGTCTTGAAGTAATGGCCCTCGTCTTGGTCATGGTTTGTTCTTGCGTCAATGAGTCAATGAGCGGTCGAACAGTTCCCTGCACAGGAAACGTGACCGCATTGCAATTGGCAACGTCGCGTGAACGTGACCTCTTTCGGTGGTTGAAGCTACCGCTCACTATCTACAATACTGAGCTGCCCTTGCTACAGGACGCTGCAAAGAGTTCTATTGAGAAGCACGTTGCTCTCCAGCCAGTGGCGATTGTGCTTCCCAGTGATATGCTGCGAGCGCTGCAAGAAGCTGGCCCGGAGGCACTGCGGTCTACCCGTGGCACCAAACATGTTGGCAGGTCTTCTGTATTCATACACTGTATAGGATTGAGTTTCACGTTTGAAACTTTGGGGCGAATGCCGTTGCCATCAGGTCATGGAGGAATGCCTGGGGTCCCAGCACGACTTTAAAGCGCTTTGGCGTGCCTCTGGGTGCGAGGACATGGCTTTGTCGGATTTCATTCCCGTGATTATCCATGAAGATGCTGTTCCTCATTTTTCAGGCATGATTCAGAAGATGGTTGTTAAACTGTTTCAATGTTCAAAAAAACCGATCGTTAAACGTGCGCATCCAGAATTGTCTTGTCGACGCTGCCTCGCCCATATGGTCAGGCTCTACGGCCACTGTCTGGTCTTGGAGCACTGGGTGCAAAAGAGGTGACAGCTGGGCCACACGCCAATGCATAGCGATCATTGGCACTCCACAGGTGACAGACGAGACAAGAGAAGCTACGTGTCAAATATTGGCTTGGGATTTCAAGCAAATGGAGGCTGGGAAATTTGACCTACTCAACCATTTGGGGAATTTTCATAGTTTGGGTTCTGCAAGAGAAGGGTTGGGAGGGAGCGACATTCCCGCCCGTGGAGCTTTCATGTATTGGAAAGGCGACATGGAAGCCCATGCTTACAGCCATTACCTGACAAAAACAAGGCGGTATTTCAAGTGTTTGCAATGCTGCGACTTCTGTCTGGGCACTTCGGACAGGCGATGCCCAGAATTGTCATGGGCGGATGTAACCCTCCGAGCGCTCTGGAGGAGTACGCTGACGCTGACAGACGACAGTGATCCCTCTCCATGGGTGCGTGTGCCCCGGTTCCAGAAAGACAGAAGACTCTTGGACCTTCTGCATCTAGTTCATTTGGGAACCATGAGAGATGTGATTGCTTCATCCATTGTGGATGCTTTGGATGACGGCACTCTGGCAGCATTTTATGGCATGCAAGGTGCTTTGCCCGATCAGATACTACACAAGTTGAGCCATCACGCTCAAGCGTGGGCGACCAGCAATGGTTTCCAGCTGGACGTTGGAACATTGACAATGCATCGTCTTGGAAGGACAAATGCAAATCGCACGTGGCCTTTCGCTGTTCTTGACTCACGCATAAAGGCTGCAAAGTGCAGGGTCTTGCTGGCATTTGCGACGTTTATAATGTGCAGACTTGCGGCTTCTCAGGCTAGTGCATTGGACCAACGTCAGCGGCTACATGCGAAAGTCAGGGCCTCATGCCTTTGGGCGCTGGACACGGCGCTGAGCATCTTCAGCACCAACCGCCGGGTGGTGATGGTTTCAACTACTGTTTCGGAGACAGTTTGGCTATGCAGATTACACTCCGCTTGCTACCAATTTCTCGCGAGTGAATGCCTCCGGCAGGGCAGACTTCTTTACAAGAACAGGCCCAAAACTCATTATTTCTGTCACATGATTGACCATCACGAGCAAACGGGCATTTGCTTATTACACGTGTCAACTTTCGGTGACGAGGACTTCATGCATAAAACGCGCACGATCTGCAGGGCGTGCCATGGAAGCACCTATATGAAGGCGTGGGCTCGCAGATACGCCTTGAAACGGGCGTTGCAGTGGCAGGACATGAGAAAATGGCATGGAGCTGCGCTTTGCAATGAGAGAACTTTTTTGAGATGTGAGACTTGCGTGTGTGTGTGTGGTTCATGATACATGACTTCCCCACTTGTTACAAATATGTACTTATAACTAATGAAAACAGTGTGTGTATATAAATAGCAATATATATATATATATGTGTGTATACATATATATGCGCGCGCGTTTGTATCTGTAACCATGTTTTGTTCGACTGTGTTTTCTTGATAGGGGGCTGTCCTGCGTGGTATCGCAACAATAAAGCGGCGTAGTGTGCCCACAAAAATACAGGAGGCTCAAGTCTAATTGCAAGGTAGCCTAGCTTGCAATTAAATCGTGACGTCACTGGTGCGCTTCAAGTTTGACTGTTGACCATGGTTCTTTGGGAAGTGCAAACGGAAGCTCTGTCAAGTGCTATGGTGCGCGCAGGCAAGCGGTTGTTTTACTAGGCTTGAGAGTCCCGGAAATGCAAGTAATGGGTGTTTATTTGGCAAAACATACGCCCCTAGGTGTTGATTTCTCAAATTGTCAATAAATAAACACCCGTGGGTGTTTATTTCCTCAAACATACACCCCTGGGTGTTAATTTGCTGTCCTGGGTGTAAAATATACGCCCAACAGCCAGATTGGTACCTGCAGGTAGCTTGCTTGATCTCTTTCGCATACTTCCGGAGCACTTCCGGAGTAATCACACTCTCTGCCTTCGGCATCTTCTTAGCTGTTGTCTTCGCAAGATACTGGCAGAATTGTGAAAAGCCTTTCGGATCATACGAGTTAAAACTCGGAGGAGCTTGGTTCGGACCTATGACACAGAAATCCATATCGTCAAAACTAACAAAAAGATTTTTCTCATCGTCCAGATCCTTGTCTGGATCCTTCTCAAAACCTTTCACATCTTCTTCATCAAAAATAGGTTCTGAGTCTGTCTCATTCGAATCAGTCGTCTGATTGTCGTCATCTCCGATTGTGCTCGGAGGCACTGGAATGTCGGCCGCTTGTGGCTGATTCGAACTTGATGCTGTCGGATTCTCCGAATGTCCAGGAAAGAAACTTGTCGGAACAGACTTCGGAGGTGCCGGAATAGGTTCGTCATGTCCTGGTAACTGAACCTTAGAACGTTTAACCTGAAACTTCACCTTCGCTTTTGGCAAAGCATCAGTTGAGTCTACAGAAAGCTTCCGCATGTGCTTGCTGTGACGTTCACGATTCTCCGGAACATATGGTTCTGGCTCCTGCGTGTTCGAATCGGGCGACGGAACAAACGGATGAACGGGATCCGTATCAATCGGAAAACCTATCGGTGGTTGACCCGGATCATCTGGCGGACGGGATTCGCTCGTAATCTCCGGCATTGCCTCTTCCGGATCGCTCGATGGATATCCGAGTTGCTCCAAAGGAACATCGGGATTTCCGAACTGATTCGGACCAGCTACGGAACCTGTCGGAGGTGGTCCCGGAGGTTGTCCACCCTGGTGATCATCAGGGTTGCCACCCAGTCCATCACCAGGCGGATACATATCTTCATCATCTGGATCAAAATACTGCTGTTCCCCCGAGACTGGAATTGGCTCATAAGCCATATCATCATCCATCGGTGGTCCGTAGTCTGGAGGTTGATCCTTTGGATCCTGTAGAGCTACTTCATCAGGAGTCACAACGCGCTTCACGGCGCCTGTCGTCTCTGCTTCGAAAACTATCATACTCCAATGATTTACCAAAAACTGTTCATGATGAGGAGACAGTTGTGACATAAACATAAAGAAAACCTGATAGTATTTTCCTGGCTTCCACATAATCAACACTGCATCATCTTCAGAGTTGAAGAGAGGATGCACTCTACCAAAAGTACCACGATAAACCTTACATCTCTCAAAATACATCTGTGGCAAGGTTCTTCGTCTAATCTCCTTCAGGCCTGGAATCAATGACACAATTCGAGAATCAGAGGATGTTGTCACATCAAACTCTGATCTCTGAGGTAGTGCATCTACCTGCCTCAAGGTTCTGATCAGTTCAGTAGTAGTGAACCTTTGTGGTAGTATGTGTCGAAGTGGAACCGGAATTTCCGTCGTCTCTTCCGTTCTTACGGAATTCAACAAAATTGACTGATGAGCTTCTCTTTCTAACAAAAGAGCTGTTCCACACAAACTTCCAGAGTCAAAATTCTCCAGAAGATCTTCAATAAGGAAACTCTGACGTGTATCGGAAGTCTCACTATAAGGAAGGAAACGATTCATCTCAACCAGAAATGAAAATGGAAACTTCTTCCAGTCAGGATCCTTGAAATACTGGTTGCTTCTAGTGGCTTGCACTGTTTTAGCTTGGAAGGAACAGTCACCACTACCTTTCCATCCTTGGCAGGATGCATAGGAATGGAAAACTGTCACGTAACTAATTCCCTTAGGACAATGGCAAAAACAATTCATATCCACATCAAAGTTAAAAACCGGATTCTTCAAAGAAGAAATGAACTTCTGCGAAAACAAACAAAACTTGTTTCCCTTGGGAACAGTCACAAACACATGTTTCTTCCTTCTCAACTGCCACTCAATCACACTGCAACATAGCAACCAAATAGAAGCTCTGTTTTGTTTGGGAGAAGGGTTGTTGATCACTACACAGTGTGGCTGCAACCTCTCAAGTTGCTGCCAAATACCATCTTGACCCTTCAGAGTGGAAAAGTTGTATCCTGCCTTGAAATCCATAGGAGATGCAACTCTAACACCATTCCTTGAAAGGAACCAAGATAATCCACTGTTTCCATGAAGTAACTCAACAACATCAGGATGATCATCAGTACAAAAGAAAAAGGACTGTTCTCCAAATTCGGCATCAACATACAGTTCGTGATCTTCACGTAAGTTCTCCGGATTCTCATCGTCTAATGCCGGTATGGAAACATCATGCCACTCATCGTGATCGCGTCTAACCTTCGACTGATTCACACGTACCACTGCCTTACCAGTGTTGGCTTGGACCATAGCTCCTTCTTGTCCAAGTACTGTGGCACGAACCCAACGTCCTTTATCCTTGAACTTTGATGAATCCTGAGTCCAAACAAAAACCTTCTCTCCTTGGAAATAAGGACCGTCACTTGGCATAGTCCTTCTTGCAAGATCTGCTCGAAGGTCCTGAGCTTGTCGTGCTTCTTGATGAGCTCTCAAAGCCACACGTTGTAGTTCCAGATTTGTACGATCTTGTGCGGCTGCATTAGCTGACAATTGCTCAGGGCTTGCGGTCTCAAGGTCAAAAAGATCTGGTGGACGTCTTCCAGTTGCTATCTCTATTGGTGAATATCCACTGATAGTCAACTGACAATTTCTTGCCCAAACTACCTTCTTGACCACTTCTCTGACCGTAACACCACGAAAACGTGGGTCATCCAGATCTACCTTCATAACATGCCACATACGTTTGAACAAACGTACAGCTGTCTCTGCTCGGTTCGGCCAAGGAGTTCTTGGCCCACAAGGACATTGTTGTATACCATGGAACCTGTAGTATTCAACAAAAGCATCTGTGAAAAAGGCTTCGTCTCCTACGATGGCCTTCGGAACACAGTTGTTCTCATCAGACCATTGCCTCAATGCTTGGATGGTGGTTTGATCTATGAGGTCTTTCTGTGCCGTAGCCCAGAGAAGATTTGTGGCACCATCAAGAACAAGTAAGATGATATACTTGTTCTTGTGAAGTTCAACCTCACAATGATCAGCAAAAACAACATCACCAAAACATGAAGCTCTAATACCGGAGACTCTGGCTCGTGGCGGAGGTGCCACTGAAGTGTTACAAACACGGCAGTTCCTGACAACTGATTCATACTTCTCTAAAACAGAGTCAGGAAGCTTCAACATAGAAACACGTCTACGAAACTGAGTAGGACTCATATGGTAGTGCTTCACATGAAGCTTATAAAGCTCTACCTTGTCCTCCAGTCTCTGCAACATCTTCCTATATGCCGGTGTCATTGCAACAACTTCACTACCAGGTAATGGGATTGAAATCCGCCTAGGCTCAAGAGCGCCATCACCTGGTTCAAGTGGTTCATATTTATCACTTGATGGTCCTTTTGATGCTTTAGGAATTTCTACAAGTTCACCTTCTGGCCTCTCAGGTGGTTCTGAGGGAGTATACTCCTCAAGATCATCACCCTTTAAATCATGTGGAGGCTCAGATGGTTTCAACTTGTGTCCTTTCCAAAATGGATCATAACCCTTGGAGGTATACCGAAACTTTGGCGGCACAGGCTTTTCCGCGGCACTGGATGGTACACCTTCCTTCTCTGAAGAGAA